TTCGATAGTTTTACCAATAGGATTTCACTCTGGATTTACCCTCCTTTTGCAGGAGGGGAAACAGGCTCAAAGGGCCGAAGGGGTGGAGAAGGTCCTGCTGCTCAGAAGGGGAGGGCTGTGCCTGGCACCACCCCCCTGACTGTACACCCAGCTCTCAGGCCCTGCACCGTGCCCACTGCCCGCAGGTCCTGGCCCCTGGGCCCTGGCGCTGGACCCCCTCAGGAACAGGTTTAGGGAATGTGTGTGGGAAGGGAGGCCTGGGGGCAGGGGACCCTGCCAGTCACTGCTCTCCTAATGCCCTAAGCTCTCCTTGCCCGCGGGTGCCAGGACCGACACCGGCCACCCCATTTGGCCTTCCTGTCGTCCCGGCAGGAGGATCACACATCCTGTCCTGTCCGCCCCGCCCCCACCCGCCTGCCCACATGCCCTGCTTCCCGGAGGCTCAGAGTCTGGATGTGAACAGAGGCAGAGCCCAGGGCCTCCAGGTGCTGCAGGTGCTGAGTTGGGGCCAGGCAGGCTGGGGGTGGGGGGGGGCGGGGGCGGTGTGTGTGTCCCGCCATGGCTGACCTGGGAGAGCAGAGGCTTGAGGAGGCAGCGGGTGAGGCCTGCCTGTGGTATAGGCGGCTGTGCCAGCAAGTCTGCTGCCGCCTCTCCTCCCACAATGGCCCCATTGTTCCCCGAAGCCAGGCAGTTTGGGGGAGGTGCCTAGGCCACCCCTAACCTCCACCCCCCCCAACCAGGGGCCAGATTAACCCCTCGGAGGCCAGAGGCTACGTGAGGGCCCACAGGTTGCTCTCTTCTCGGGATACAGGCCTGGGAAGTCACCTCTCCCCTCCTGTGCCCCGCAAGGGCCGCTCTAGAGATTGGGGTGTTCCCCAGGGTAGGGAGCAGCACTAGGACCCCCCTCCCCACCTTGGTGCAGGTGCCAGGGGCCAGGAAGTGCCAGTGGGGCGGCAGGCCGGGCCCAGATACAGTTGGGCTGGTGGGGCGAATCCCAGCCACCGCTGCCTGCCCCACTGGCTCCCCAGCTCCTTTCCTTCCTGTGAAACCAGAGCTGGGTTGGGCCTCGCTCAGGATTTCGGTGGATTTAAAGAGGCAGCACCATGCCTGCCAGCTTGGCTTCCTCCCCTCCCCAGGTAGGGTCTGGGGCAGAGGGGACTGGAGGGCTGCTGGCTCCTCCCTTGCCCCGGGGTGACCCCTGGCCCTTGCCCTGTTTGGGGACCAGGCTGTGGCTCTCCTCTCTCCCAGGCGCGGGGCGGGCGGGGTGGGCGGGGTGGGCTGTGGTTTCCTGTGCAGGCTGTTTGCCTGGCCCACAGTGCCCGCTCTGCCTGGGCTTCCTGCCTGTCTTGGTTCACTGTGCCCCCCTACTGCTCCCCGCGGGGGGAGGGGACAGGCAGGGATTGGGCAGCAAACTTTGGGGGCACCTCACTGCCAGGGCATGACCGGCACTGGCTGAAGGAGCCCAGGGAGGTGACCTCAGGCTTGTCCAGGCAATGCCACTGGCCCTGCAGCCTCCGGAAGGTCCGAAGGGCACAGAACCCCGTAGAAGCCCCTGTGCAGAGACCCGGCCTGGGAAGGTCCGGGCCAGGAGTTTCTGTGTCTCCGTGGGGTTGGGGTTGCCTGACATGACTCTGGGGCGCAGGTGGGGCTGGGCTGGAAACTCCCAGGCAGAAATGGTTGATTTGCATGGTCTCCTTTGGCA